GCAGGCAAGGCTAGCCACCCCCCCCGCCCTTGCTTCAATGAGCTGCCCCCCCCTTGTCTGGCCCGGTTTGGGTTCCACTGTGGGTCTTTCCCAGTTTTCACAAACAGGTCTGAGACCTACAGGAGTTTTGACCCTCTGTCCAGTTCGGGCACTCCCAAACTACAATTGGGCTTACACAACAGGGTGCCCCAGAGGTTGTCCTTCCCTTCCTCCCCCCCCTACCCCTGCAGCTGCCTTGCCGACTTGGGGGGGGGGTAAATGGGTGGAGAAGAGGACATGCTCCAGAGTTCAGCTGCCAAGGGAAGCTCCAGCCAAGCACTGGACAAGCCAGCCACCCTCTTCATTTCCTCAGGTGACCTCCTGGCCTCCCCAAGGCCCCTCTGGAGCCTCTGTCAGGATTGCCCCACTCAGGCGCCTTCAACAAACAAACCAACCTCAGAAGTTCCTTTCCCCCATTTCTTGGAGCCACAGCAGTGCCAAGCATTGGGGGCTGATGGGCCCCTAAGGGGACCTTGGGCGAGTCTGTTGGTCTCTTGGCTTCGGGAGTTTCCTTGTGGTAGAAAGGAGATTCCGTGCTGGACATACAGCAGGCAGGATGGTCGGCGTCTGCAACGCCCCCAACAGGTCCCCAGCTGAGAGCTCCAATCCAGCGTGGGGCTGGGGGTGGTGGTGGTGGTGGGGTGGCCCCTCCCCATCGCACCTTCACCTGCAGCGAGCTCTCTGGCCTCCCAGTCTCCCTAGACCAGCCTTTGCCACCCAGCCTGCAAAGGGCTCCGCTGGGGTCTCTGCAGGTGAGCTGATGGGGGAGGTGGGCTTGAGTCAGAGGCAAGAGGGGAGAGAGAGGGAAAGAGAGGGACCACTGGCAAGAATTCAGGGTTGCTTTGTAGTATCAGCCGCCCAGCGCAGAAGAGCCGATAGATCACCACCGTGTTGCTCTACAGTTTCCGTTGTTCCTGAGCACGTGGTCTGCCTCTGCTGCAGAATTAGGGCTGGGGTCTTTCTGCCACCAGCTGGATGTGTGCTGAGAGTCATCAGGCTCTTTGGGACCATTCAGAGGAGAGCCTTGCCGGAATTCTGGGGCCGGTGGGAACAGCTGTGCTTCCACTTCAGGCAGAAGGACAGCCCCGAAGAAAAGGAGATGGTGCCAGATAAGCGCCTGCTTATCATCTCACCCAAAACCCCAGGAAGGAAGTTGGGGGCCCCAGACGCAGCTCTACCGTGGCTTTGCGGTTTGTGTGGCGGAGGGAGGCTGTGGTGATCTGGCTGTGCTAAACTTCTCCCCACCCCTCCCTCAAACACTCTCTCTCTTCCCCCCCCCAGTGCCTGGCTCTGGAGCAAGGGCCGAACTGCAACGCCACGCAGTACCTGCAGCAAATGCCCAGTGGGGACTGGTGTTGTAGCAGATGCCCGCCAGGTAGGAACCCAGCCTGGCACTCCGGGATCCATCTGGTCCCTGCCCTGTTTGTGTGAGAGCAGAACACCTCTCTGTGGGCGTGACTCCTGAGCGGCCCACAGGGGAGGAAGAAAGTCCCTTCCAGTCTTGCTCAGGTCGCCCGGGTCCCGTGGGCTGCCCTGCTGGCTGCTGGAAGCTCCTCTCTGATGCTGCGCCACCTTGACCAAAGACAGTGACCCAAAAAGAGCTCCAGAAGAGCCCGCTGGGGCAAGAGTCCCCCCCTCCCACCCCTCTGACCTCTTGGGGATCATCACCTCCTTGGACGGGGGCGGGGGGGGGGACTGTGGAAGGGCCAGCCGGTCCCAGCAGGTCTCTCCCTCCTGCCTGTCCCAAAGTGGGTCCTTGGCCAGAGGCACCTTGTGGGGGACCACCCCCTTCAGGGCACTCCCCCGCCCGCAGGGCAGCCTCACCGGTTTCCATGCGGTCTTCCAGGCCAGAAGGTCAAAACGCCCTGTGACGGGGAGTCCGACACCGTTTGTCAGCCATGCGAGACTGAGCACTTCCAGGCCGGCTGGACCAAGGAGAAGCACTGCACGCCACACACCTACTGTGACCCGAGTAAGCCAGGGGACTACCTGGTCTGCTTGTGACGGGCGGGGAGCTGTGACGGTGGGTGGGCTGGCCCCCAGCCTCATTGCCCTCTCTTCCCCTTCCAGATGCCGGCTTCCTGCTTCACGTCCCGGGGACTGCCACGAGGGACGCCGAGTGCCGGTGCCGTAATGGCACCCATTGCTCCAGTCCCGAGTGCCAGGTCTGCCGGCCCAGCAAGCCGTGTGGGCCGGGCGAAGGTGTCCAGAAGGAAGGTGGGGAGTGGTGTCTGCTCCCTGGGAGGCGAGCAAGGGTCCCTTGAAGAAGGGAGGCGAAGTGCAGTGGAGCGCCAGCCTCCCGTGGCTTGCTTTGAGCTGCCCTTCCCCCACAGCAGCCAAATGGGTTCTCTGCACACGTACAGAAACTATCTGGTCGCTGTGTCTAGGGCCCAGGCAGCAGCCTGGTTCTGATGGATCCGTGCTGGGTGTTAGCCATGACGAAGGAGACCTGCACCCACCACCTGCTGCAGAACAGGGTTGGAGGGGGAGGAAGGGGTTAGGATCAGCCAGCCCTTCCTGGCCAGTGGGACTCTTCCTTCCAGCAGGCAGCCCCACAGAGGGGTCCCCACTCCCAGGGCCTAGAATCCAGCTACTGCCCCAGAGGATGTGGGTTCTGGGAACCACTGGTGCCTGACACAGCTGCTCTCTCCCGTCTTGCAGCCAGCCACCTGGAGGACACCGTCTGTGTGGAGTGCCCGGAAGGCTTCTTCTCCAGTGTCGTCTCTGCTACAGCTCCCTGCCAGCCCTGGAGCAGGTAAAGCAAGACAGCTTGGCTGTGTGCGCGTGTGTATGTAATGTTATGTATGTATGCGTGCATGCACACCTACACACACAAACAATCATTTTTAGGGCTGCAGAGCTGGAAGGCCCAGCTTGGCTGCTGCTGCTGCTGCTGCTGCTGGGGGTTTTGAGAAGGGCTTGTCAGGGGTCCTACACATGTGCAGGCTGCAAGACGAACCACACAGGACATGCAAATATGTGCAGCTGAGCCCAGGTGCCCTCCTGAGCAAAGCAGCTGGTGGCAGGGAGTGTGTGTGTGTGTGTGTGGAGGGGGTGTGTTTGGTGGGGGTGGATTTGCAGCAAAAGCTACTCATCTGGAACTCCGCTGCCGCCAAGGCTGGTGCCCCTCCCACCCCGTTGTCAGCTCTCCGGCAGCTGTTTCTCTGTCCCAAGTACTTTGTGGCCCCGCTGACATGTGTGTGTGTGTGGGGGGGGGTAAAACAGGAGGAAGCAGCTGCTCTTCTAGCCTCTTTCCCTCCCTTTCTCTCCCTCCAGATGTGTAGACAGAAACCTTGTCCAGAAGGCAAATGGAACCCGCCATTCGGATGTCACCTGTGGTAAGTCTGAGCTCCCGAGAACAATATGAAACCCTTAAAGTGAGGGGGAGAGGCTCAATGAGTCCTTTCTGGGGCACAGGGTGGGAGGGGGGAATGGGAGGGGAATGCCATGCCTGGTGTGACCTAAGCTTTGGCTTCTGTGGTGCCCCCCCCCGAGAGCTGCCTGGTGGCATCCTTACAGAGTGGGGGGGCAGTGGGGGGGGGTAAGGGGGGCTTGTGGGGGCCACCCAAGGAGAAGACTTAGCCCTGGATGGTTGATGAGTGGAAGGGAAAGCAGGGTTGCTGCTGTCGCTGTCCTTTGGAAGGGGGACACTGTCCGAGGGCGAAAGGCACACATCCTGCTTGTGCTGGGCACCCTGGGAGGGGGTGGTGGTGGTGGTGGTTTCTTTTTCCCGGTCGCATCCTTCTTGGCTTCCTTCCCCACCCAGAAGAGGTCCGGGCCGCCACACGTCCTCCCCCGACATCTGCCCCCAACAGGGAAGCTGGGCGCACCCATTTGCTCGCCCTGGTGCTGCTCCCACTTGGCGCGCTGGTGACGATGGGGGCCGCCTTTGTTATCCGGCATCAGAAGTGCAAGGGTGAGTTGGCTGGGGTCCTGTCGTTGGCCGGGGGGAGGGGTTGGCCCGGCCCCTGAGGTCTTTGCAGAGGGGAGGAAGGTGCCAGCTCCATCCTCTTTGGGGGTGGGGCATCCTGGGCATCTCTGGCTGCCCTTCTAGCAGCTGTGGCAGGGCCAACGCAAGAGACCCTGGAACTGGGCCCATCCGCCACTTGCTCATGGGGGGGGGAAGCCAGCCCTCGCAGGCTGGTCGTATCGCACTGGGAGTATCCCACTGGGCCTCAGAGAGTGTGTCAGGGCCTCCCCCAGCCAAGCAAACACAGGGAAGCTGGCCCACCTGGGCCTCTCCCAGGTGGCGGTTGCCCTGAGCTCAAAGCAGAAGGAAGGAGGGCAGGTGGGCAGGCAAGCCTGCCTGCCTGCTTGCCCGCCCGCCCGCCTGCCCGCCTGCCTTTTGCCCCTGCACGGGCCCCAAAGGCTAAGGGCTCTTCTACGGACACCCAGGCTTAGTTCTCCTTCTGTGGCTGCTGCAGGGGAAGAAGCGTGCAAGGGAGGAGGGGCTCTTCCCAGCTGAGGCAGGTGGGTTAAAAGGCAGGAGGAGATGGCAGGGGCCGAGGGCGAGGCCGAAGTGGGTGATGACTCCTGATTGCCCACCCGGTCTCAGGAGGATATGAGGTTCTGCCTAAGGACCAAATTGCGGAAGAGTCTCAGACAGACTGTACCCTGTTTCATTGTCACCATCCCTCTTTATTCTGTTTTATTTTATTAGGGGGGGGGCTTCAAAAATTGCTTAAGTAAGAAAAACACAACCTAAGCCTCATTTTAAAATATGCTCCATTTTTACCCCTTGATCCCATTACAGCATGGTCTACTCTTTCTCATGGGAGCCGGCACACTGTGAATGAGACACTTCTGTCACGCTCTCTTAGCAGCAGCGACTCTGTTCCCAAACATGCTAGTTGTTTTGGAAGTTAACGGAAGTATTCAGAAAACAATTAGAACTAACGTAAACGATCGCTTCACAAGGCACTCTTTCAACCGTACTTTCACTTTAAAGCATTTTAAAATCCCTTCTTTCAGGCACTTTCCTTAATCATTTCTTAACATCTTAAACTCATTTAAAAAAAAATATGGACAGAATTGTGCCCCCTCCCATTGTTACCTTGTAGACCAGGCTTGCAAGTTTTTTTTTGTTTTATTTATTGCACTTCTACCTTGCGCATCTAGTGGCAAGCCACAGCTTTGGACCACTTACAATATAAATAAATATAAGCACAAAATTTAAGCAATAAACATAAAATAACAGAAAAGAAATCCTCCCAAACCTAACTATATCTAGGTAAAAGACACTAACTAACTTGTAGGATGGTGGTAACAGCAGTATCAATTACAGTAACAATAGACATGGGGTTTCAATACAAATAAGTAAGTATTTAAGTAGTGTTAAGGCTTTAAAAGGCCAGAGTAAAAAGCCATGTTTTCATTTACTTCCTGAGGTTTAACTAAAGAAATATTGAAAGAAAAATAAAAGATCAAAACTGGTTGATGCCAATTAAAAAGAATAGTTCCAGAATCACAATGTTGTGGTTATAGATTTCTGTACAGGAAAGAAAACCCTACAGATTACACATTACACTGTCTTAGAGAAATAAGGCTTTCCCTGGTTGTCTGAACAAGCCTGGATTTCCCCTTCGCACCGCCCCCCCCCCAGCTCATCCTCTGAGAGACCAGGAGAACCAGAGAGAATATGGATCCCTCAGTCCCTAAAAAGAATGGGCCATTTCAGTAATTACTTGTAATCCCCTTTTGAACCCAGCTTGGAGGGGAGAACCTGCACAACACCTAACAAAAAGCAGATTTTCTTCAAGATGCACCTGGAAGGTAACCTTGGTTTATGCAAGAGAGGCTTCCTTGACTTCAAAGGGCCCTTTTTATCAAAGTCCCAAGATGAAAAGGACGGATGCCTTCTGCTGAACTGGCCCACTTCTTCCCTTCCTTTCAGAGGAATTACAGTCTGTTTAATTAATCCAGACATCTCTTGACAAACATGGACAGAAGAAAGGGCAGGAGAAGGTCTCCTTGGGGGTTGCTAGGGAGAAGGCCCAGGAACGCTTCTGGCCCCGGGGTTGTTGCCCCCCTCCCTGCTTGTCTCGGGGCCAGGATGGGTATTTTTTTTCTTTCTCTCTCTCTTTTAGGGTGGGGTGGGGGAGAGGCCTGCAGGCACCGTTTCCTCACTTTTAGCTGTGGCACCATTAGCCCCACAGGAGTCCTTTGCCACCCTGCCATGTCATCCATGAAGGCGTTCCCTTCTAGCCCCGACACAGGTTTCACCAGGGGCTTCTGGTCTCCTCTCCCAGCCACCGGGGCTTCGGCAGTCCCCGAAGGCTCCCTTGGTCATTCGGCTGCGGCACAAGGAGGAAGCCTTGCTCCGGCCTCCCCTGGTGCCCTGCAGAACCCGCTGCCCCTTCCTTTCCCTGGCCCTCCACCTCTTTCATCTGTGGGTCAGAGTGGAGGCACCCCTGAAGAAAGGGCCAGGAAGCCCAGGAGTTTCTCCCAGATTGACTTTTCCTTTTCTTTCTGCCCAGGTGGCCAGAAGGAGCCCCACGACCAGGTAGGTGCTGCAGACGTCTGTCTCTCTATGGGGCCGGGAGAGGGGAGGTGGTGGCCGTGGGGGGTGCCAGACACAGTCGAGGGTCTGCCTCTGGCAGGGGAAGCCCCCCTTCTCTGCTCCTGGTGGGGCTGAGGCTGAACAGGGGCTCCCACCGGCCTCTGGCCCATCTCTGCCAGGCAGTGACCTCTTTGTGCCTGTTGCCTCTGCAGGGCCACCGCCCCAACGGGAGGCAGCAGCCGGCTGAGGTGGCCTTTGACGATCAGCTGTGCCCGGCCTTACCCATCCAAGAGACGCTGCGAGGGGAGCAGCACCTCACCCCGGAAGACAGCAAGGAGAGTGGCTTTGCGGCACAGGAGCAAGTCTGAAGCGACGATGGGCTGCAGGGAGGGCCACCCGTCCCAGGTCTCCTGCCGCCCCCTTCCTGTCCCATCCCATGCCCCCCCCTTACTCGTGCAGCTACTACAACTGTTTCTAAGGCTGGATCTTTTTCTCTCTCCATTCCCCCCCCCCCTCTGCCAACCTGGGGATTTCTCTTGCAAAGCTGCCAGAGAAAGAGAGAGTTGCTGTTGCTGTCTCTCTCCTGCAGTACGGCCTCGTACTGTGGTCTGACCCACATCGAGGGGGAGCTGGGCAGCTGCTAGGGGGGAGGGAGGGCTGTTCTGATCTGCTCCCTTCTGCCCTAGTCGTGTTGGACCTCCCCGTCAGGCAGCAGGCCTGGAGAGTGGCAAAGGAATTGCAAGGAAGGCCCCCTTGCACGTGGGCAGGGGGAGGAAGATTCCCCACCCCTCCACCCCACTTTCTCCCACCCTTTGGGGGCTCTCCTGGAGCAATCTCTCTCTCTCTCTCTCTTTGCACACGGGGGGGGGCTATCTCTTCTCCTATCAAGCCTCCCACCACCACCACCACCACCATTATTGCATGGCCCAGAGTCCTACCCAGCTTGGCCTTGATGTACTGGCCTTTTTTCCTGCAGCCCAGAACACATGCCAGACTGGCAGGATCTGAGAGCCGTTAAAGTGTGCACACAGGGAGGGCTTGGCCAGGGCAAAAAGTAGGAAGCCTTCCAAGTGGGAAGGGACGTGTGTGTGTGTGTGGGGGGGGGATGTCTCTGTCATTCATGCCTCATCCCCGGCTGTGGATGGGCCGGGAGGGAGGACGTGCGTCTCTAGGTGAGGATGAGCCGAAGTCTGCCTTGCACTGCAGCAGGGGGCTGGCTCATCCGTCCTGGGGCTGGTCCCCCTCTGGCTCACAGCCCTGCCAGGTTTCTGGTCACGGGGCAGTCGGGGCTCCGGGACCATCAGGCCAGGAGGTCCGAGAGCAAGAGGGAGGGTGCCTTAGGCCATCAAGCCAAAGGCCAGTCTAGTACGGCCCCCAACAGTGTCCAAAATGATGCCCTCGGAGGCCCACAAGTAGGGTAGCAGGGGGACTGAGGGGTAGGGCTCCGTATCCCCCTCCCACGAGTGAGGCCCAGAGGATCTCGCCCTAAACCTAACCCGTGAGAGGCCACAGGACCCAGAGCCGCCACTTCTCCATCCTGAGCCCAAGGAAAACCAGCCCAATGTTTTTGCCTGTGGATCCTGCCCGTACCTCAGCAAAAGAGGAGTCCGTGTGCCTGTTGAGCCCAGGGGGCAAAGACTGGCTCTCGGGAGGAGCTTCTGGCAGGGTCTTGGAGCCTTTTTAAGAGAGGGGAGCTGAAATTCCACGGTTCCTCTGCTGCCAAGAGGCTTCGGGTCGCAGCCTCACAGATCTCAGTTCTTCCGGACATGTACCGCCCGTTTTTGGACCCTTGTGTACAATTTTTCTGTGCTGTCCATGAAAGGTGCTACGTGTGACGGAGTGGAATTTTCTCCACGAAAGCTTGCAATATGTTTGGTTTTCTAGTGGTCCGATAAAAAGTATCACCCTTACATTTGTGTAATCTTGGGGGCCATGCAGCCTTTTCCATGTTCTTTCTGGCAGTGCCTGGTTATTTATCCATGCCTCTGTGTCTTTTGTGTTGTGTATTAAATAAATTATTTTTGTACTTTGGTGAAGTTATCTGGTGCGTTTTGCTTTTGGTAACTCAGAGCTAAGCCCTCCCACTAGCCAAATAGCTCCTGGAGGCCTGGGGCTGAGGAGACAAAGGCACCGGGGTGCCCACATCGTGGCCTTCGCTCAGCTTCTAACCCTAACCCTCTGACACTTTCTCCCTTGAAAGGGGGAAAACACAGTTAGGGGACAAAGCAGGAAGACCAGCCCAGGAGGCCTTGTCTGGAAGCCTCCTAAGGGGGGGGCTGGGGGGGCTGGGGAGGCGTGCCCTGGGACAGAGCCCTTCTTCACAGTCCTTAACTTACTGGGAACAATAATAACAACAATTCATCACAATAATGATTGTGCCCCACGGAGTCCATTTCCAGAATCTTCTAGGTGCATCCTGAGGATGCCCAGAAGAAGCACTTGATCCTTTTCTTCTGGGGGTGTCCAGAGGCTCTGCAGCTTGCCGTTGGTGACACCCTTTTGCTGAGAAATCCGACTTCTTTGCCTTCAACATTTAGAGGTATCAACCCATTGTGTGTGGGACTCCCTGGGGGTCCCTAGTCAGAAGCATGGAAATGGCCGGCCTGCTGCTTGACTTGATTTATGCCGAAGCTGATCTGGGGAGCCACTTCCGACACAGCACAGTGGATGTGAGGAGGAGCTCCTGAACGAATGAACCCCTGGCTGGATCGGGACAGGCTGCTCTTCCCAGGGAGGGGGGGCGGCTGTGAGGAGGGGCTGGAGGGTCAACTGGTGTTGCCCTGTGCCTTGGCAAGCAGAAGAGAAGCCGGGTCCTCCTAGCACCTCTGAGCCACCACTGCCTGCGTGGCCACATCCCTGAATTATCCGGGCAAAAGGCCCTCCCCGCCTGGGAAGGAAGGAAGGAAGGAACCCCCCCCCCCCCCGCCCCTGCTTTAAGGGAAAGCCAGGATGGAGGTGGGAGTGCATGAAGATGGCGAATGTTGGTCAGGGGGGAAAGGAGACACTCCTCACCCCTGTGAAGAGACGCTGAAAGAAAGAAAGAAAGAAAGGCATGCACCAAGAGGAGCCCACAGGATTTTGGGGGGGGGGGCATCATCCTGCCTCTGCGGTAACTAACAACTCAACATGCAAATTAGTGCCTGGTCGCCTGGGAGGAAGGGAGTGTTCCTTTACTAACACGCTGATGATGGATAGCTAGGCCGAATTCCCCCACCCCTCTTTGGCCAATTGACGAACTCTCTTTCTTGAGGGGCAAAACTCCAGGGGGGGGGCGGTGGGGGGGCGCCTGGGGAGAAGGACCGCTCTCCGGGCTTTCCCCGCGTCTCCGGCTCTTCCCTCCTTTCGCCTTCCTGGAAGACCCGCCTGCTCCGCTGGGCTTTCCCCAGAAGCCCTTCCTGCTCCTCCGTGGCTCGCCCCTGGGGGGGGGCTTCCCCCGTTGCAAACGGCCGAAATTCCCCTCCCAGGAAGAGCTTGCAGTTAAAAGACGTTCCCTTTCCTCCTCCCTCCTGCTGCTCCCCCACCTCCCTTTCTCTGAAACGGAATTCGGCTGAAAGAGGTTCTGGCCACCCCACCCGGCCCCCCGCCCGTCCCCCTCTTCCGTCCCGCCCCTCCGCAGACTTTCCCGGGGGGGGGGTTCGCCCAAGGAGGGGGGGGGGGAAGAAAGAACTGAAATAGAAACAATACTAATTCTAGAAAGGGAACCAGGACGAGACATCAATCGAAGCGCTCCCCTATAGTAGTAGTAGTAGTAATAATAATAATAATAATAATAATAATAATAATAATAATAATAATAATAATAATAATAATAATAATAATAATAATAATAATAATAATAATAATAATAATAATAATAATAATAATAATAATAATAATAATAATAATAATAATAATAATAATAATAATAATAATAATAATAATAATAATAATAATAATAATAATAAATAATTCTTAAGAGAAGCACGGGGGGGGCTTTAACTCTGCCCCCTTCCGTTCCACCCTCCGGGGGATCCCCCAGACCCCCTTTCCCGCCAGCCACAGGCATCCGGCTCCTCTTGAGGAGCCAGATGTAACCTCGTCCTACCTTTCAGGGCTGTTGCATAGGAAGGGCTTTGGCGCGGCAGCCTCGGAGCCCCTCCTGCTTCTCTGTGGGAGCGATCCCGCGTCTCCGACTAACAGGACAGCTAGCGCAGAAGGCGCTTCGTGAGCGCTTCTTTGGCGGCCGGGGGGGGGGAGACGGGGCGGGCGCGCAATGCCTGCTCGTACATCCAGCCCAACAAAAGGCCCACTTCTGGGCAGGCGCCTCGCGACACCTTCCTGACGTACAGGGCGTTTTCCGTGTCGACCGCCAGGCGCCAAGACTCCTTCCTCCCACCAGGTGGCGCCCCAGCCACGCGCAAGGATCGGCGATGCTCAGGGCGCGGAGTTTTCCGCTTCGCTGCGCAAACGTCCTCCTTTCTCTTCCTTCCGCGCCTTGCAAGGTGCTGGGATGGCGTGGAGGGGGGGGGGAAGAGAAGAGACGGCCCAGGCCCTTTGGCAGGGGAGGGTTGGAAAGGAAAGGAGGGAGCGCTCCCCCACCCCCCGGCAACCGGTGGCCATGAGGGGCCCGGAACTCGGCCAGCTTTTAAGAACGCCTCGCCTGGCCGCCTGTCTGAATTTCCCCAGGTTTTCCTGCGGGAGCGGATCGTCAAACCTGCGCAGCCGTGGCGGGCGAGGGACGGGCGATGTGAATTGGGCACCCACCTGAGGGTTCGTCTTACGCGTGCGTGTGGATGCGAGCGCGCATCCTTAAGCATCTCCCTCCGTGCCGCAAGGAGGGAAACCTTTCAGTGGTGCGGCGCTTCTTTCGCCGTTCCTTTATTCAGTTCCTTAAAGCCGTTTTAAACCTCCCTCCGTCCCGGTTGACCCCAAGACAATTCGCAAGTGCAGGAGCAACGCGCTGGGAAGCCAGTCGGACATCGGCGGGCCCTCCCCTCCCGTTCCAAGGCTTCGGGGTTGGAGGGGCTGAACTCTTGCCAGGAGGAACGCAGTGCAGGCGCCAGTAGGAGCTTCATGGGGCCCCGAGGTCACGGCCACGGGACCGAAAACCCTCCTTGCCAAGGTGGCATTTTCCATAAAGGGGGGGGGGCAAAGCAAGTCATGGCTGGGAGCCCAGGACAGGCTCCAATCTGTGGTCAGGAGAGGCCAAGGAAGGGCATATGCCTGGCTCAGGGAGCTGAGCTGAGCCTCCCTGCCCCTTGGGGATCTGAGGGAGAGGAGGAAAGATGCACTCACTGCCCCTTGGCAAGTGAGCCCCCCCGCCCTTTCCTGCTTTTGTCCATCATCAATAAGGGGCCCAAGAGCGGCCTCGTTCTGCCCTGCTTGGCAACAATACTTGGTCCTTAAGCCTTGATGGCTCCAGGCCTGCAGGCTTTTCCCGCCCCCAGGCTCAACAGGCAGGACAATTAGAACACAAGCCCTTCCCCCCACACACACACACACACCAACTGCAGCTGACTAGCCCCACAAAGTCGCTGAGGTCATTGGTGCCCCCCTCCCCCCTCTAGAAGTGCATCCTTGGCTCTTGCGTTCCTTGGGGCTGAGCTATGGCTCACCCCACCCCCCACATATATATAAAGAGAGAGAGAGAGAGAGAGCAAGATCTTGCAGATGTGAACTCTTTGGGTGTTGTCAGTGCCTGTTGTAGAATCTAGAAAGTCCGGACAGTGCCGGCATGTTGAAGGTGCAAAGCATCTGTACACACTCACCTGGGTGGCCGGCTTGCTCTTTCCAGCCACCACCAGTCTGGAGGCCCCCTCCTGGCCTCAGGTGTTCCACCCAGCACCCCTACCCCAGCCTCTGCTGGGAAAGGGGAGCCCCACAGTCCCAGGGCAGTTCCCTCTCACCCCACCCCACCCACAGAGGGTCTCACACACTCACAGAGAGAGAGAGAGAGAGAGAGAGAGAGAGAGAGCTGTCTCTGCATCCAGTCCTTGTGAGTAGTGGCTCCCTGGTGCAGTTCCTGGGTTGTTTTATTTTTTTTAAATATGAAATTATATCGGCTATGTTTTGTGTTCAAGTGCAAAGGCTCTTGTGTTACAGGCTTGCTATATTTTCTTTTTAGAACATCAGCAGCTTCATGTTTTAGTTCTTGGAGGATGTCAAGAAGGGATCAGATGATGTGTTGATTTTTAAAAAGTATCCTTGTCACAATTTTTTGCTTCAGTTCTATAGAAGCCTGTTTCCAAAACGCCGTGTCTGCCTTCCACTGTCTGCAGTGAAGCCCAGTACAATGGCAACAGCGCCCTTGTGACCTCCTCCTCTTCCTCCACCACCTTCCTTCGGAGATGCCTCGTCACCCACCCAAGCTCACCTCGTCCTGCCCACCTGGCTCTCCACGACTGATGAGCATAAACATTTGGTTGTTGTGGGTTTTCCAGGCTCTTCGGCTCTTTGTTCTGAAGGTTGTTCTTCCTAACATTTCTCAAGTCTCTGTGGCCACGGGCCTCTTCCGAGGACAGCATAAACATTTCCTTACTGGGCTAAATGGCTAAACAGGAATACCTTCCACAGGTTCTCTGCCTGCACTTTCATGCTCCCTAGCTTTTCTCTTGTGGCTGACGTTTTCTCCTCCTCCTCCTCCTCCCTGAGCCAATGGTTGTGGCTGCTTCCTTGGACTCTTCTCGTTAGCCGTGCTGGCATCCCTTTGGACTCATGACTGTTATGTAGCTACTCCTTATGACAACCTTAGGTCATAACACATTAGGGCTTAAACATGAAGATTTATGGAGGAAATACAGGTAAAACCAATAAAATGGGAACATGCAAACTACCTCACGGTATAATAAAATATCCAGACAGAAAAGCCAAGCCTCAAACGACAGTTTAACAGAAATAATACCCTTCCTGGTTTTAGAAGAAAACAAACTAAATCTTGTGCTGCAAGCAACAGAAGGACATTTCCCACGAGGCAGCCTTGAGAGTCTCTTTCCGCATGCACCGCAAAAATTAAAAGCACATCACCTTTTATTTCCGTTGTAGTGCGGGGCCATTGGAT